GCAACCGGAAAAGCTTTTGATGGTTCCATTTTTCACTTAGAAGCAAGCTGATGGCGAATTTGACTTCCTGGCATAAGCTAGTACCATTCATTGTAGAAGAAGTGGTTTTCTTCTTAATCTGTCCAAACTATCATTTTCTATTTTGCGGACAGAGCTACTTGTTGCTAAATCAAAACAGAAAACAATTTTTTTCAATAAAAATTTGAGGAAAATTTTGCAGAAGATTTACCATATGAAGAGAAGCTTTCTGTGGGGCTTTACATTTCATATAGCAATCAAGCTGATTTTGACTTTCTTCATCTCATCTTTAATTAATAGCACTCGGTCGACCGGAGTCATGCCTGCAATTAACTGCACTTAAAATTATGACTGGATGTTTTCCTCCTTAGCAAATAAATAAAGCAAGAATTTGTGCATATTTCTCACCTTCATCATTTTCTGCATTACAATCTTTCAACACTGCGAAGAAGTCGAGTAATCCTTGGTGAACAAAAATTGATAAAAATTATGAATTATGTGCAATTCGCATTAAAGGAGAAAGAGAAAATGATGAAGTTGAATTTAGTCGAAAGCGTACCGGCAGCCGGTACGAAGACGCGTTTTTTGCATATTTCCTCCACAGGTCTTTTTCGCCAGTGGCACGCTCTTCCAGGAATAGCTAAAAGAATTGTGACTGGCCACCACGACTGTTAGAAATTATTACAATGACTCCCAATCCGTGCCCAAAAAATTCAGCGCTCTGGATGCTCCGGTTGCGGAGTTACGCCAAATTTCACGTGTTCGTACGTGAATAGCAACGTGAGTGCTTTCTTCGGTTGGGGTTACTTAAAGACGGCCCTAGGTAGTGCTCAAAAAGTTTCAGTACTCAAGCTGCTCTGGTTGCAGAATTAGGTCAAATTTCACGTGCTCGTACGTGAATGACAACGTGAATATTTTATTCGCCCGCAGTTGCTCAAACACAGCCCTGAGTAACGCTCAGAAGGTTTTAGCACTCCAGCTGCTCTGGTTGCTGAGTTACTTCAAATTTCACGTGTTCGTATGTGAGTGACAACGTGTATACTTTCTTCGCTCGCGGTTGCTCAAACACGGCCCGGGGTAACGCTCAGAAACTTTCGACACTCCAACTGCTCTGGTTGCTGAGTTACGCCAAATTTCGCGTTTTCGTACGTGAGTGGCAACGTGAATACTTTTTCGCCGCAGTTGGTCAAACACAGTCCTGAGTAACGCCCAGAAAGTTTCAGCTCTCCAGCTGCTCTAATTGCAGAGTTAGGTCAAATTTCATGTATATACACGTGAAACTTACGTGACACGTGAAAGTGATGTGCAAGTCATTTTTGCATGCACCTGGTCAAAGTTCATCGTCGGCTATGCTCAGAAAGTCAAGGTCCTCCGGCTGGTTAAATTCTGAAGTTAAGAAAGCGCGTGCGTGAAATTTTCGCGTGTTCGCACT